CTGAAGGGACCTGCGTGAGCAAACATCAGTTCACTGGAGTCCCTGCTGGACACATGCAAATTTGTAATGAGCACTGAGCTCATAATTTATAAAAAATCATCTGAGTATTTTGTGGGAAAGAATGCTATATAAATGCAAGATAGTAATCTACATGGTACTATCCCTGCAGGTGTGTGATGGCGGAACAGTCTCCCTTGCACTTATTATTTTATTATGTTTTACTTCATCTACAGCCAACTGAAACAGTTCCCACTGACTTCATTCACTTTGGATCAGGTCCAGAAAGTCTACTAACTTGTTATGGGAATTGCAAGCCCAGCACACAGGGCCGTGGAGTAGAAGTGATCACTATGCAGGGCTTTCAAGACTCGCTCTGCTGTGAAAGTATTGGCTCCCAAAGCAGTCACATGTATTGTAATAGCCTTCTGGTAAAACATACACAGTGGACTAGACAGGAAAAGCAGGCACCAGAGAGCTTTGGTTTGGATTTTATCACCAATGCTGGGCTTTTGTTTCTAGCGATCATGTTGCCCTTGCCTGTTCTGCTGGTAGAAGAGCAGCACTTAGTTTCAGGAAGTCTAAAGTTCGCTTTAATTGCAAGTATTGATTGTTACATTGCCAGATAATTTAAAAGACAAAACATTGCACCAGAAAACCAAACTCCAAGTTAAAGACAGAAAAAAGAAAAAAAATAAAATCATAGTAGGTCACCTAGGTATTCTTTCTGGCCAATGCGGGGCCCCGACATAAAGACTGATGTTTCACCAAGTTTCACTTCAGATAGGTGGGTGCAAGGCAGGAGGATCTGTCTCTTGCTCAAATATAAGCTGTCCATATGTATTCTGCTTCTAAAGAAGCATGCAGAATCAATGACCTAACTGGTCTTTTCCATCTAAGCTACGCAAGCTTTATGATAAGTTAAGAGATTATAATAACAGAGTAATTGTTATTTCTGTGATCAAAGAAAACAGCAGGGATGTTTAATTCATCATGCACAACGGCTTGGCTGGGATGACGGAAGATTAAATACCGTATCAGCCAAAGAAGATGCTTAGGAATGAGAGAACTGCAACTTCTAAAGAGGTCTGAACCAAATCCAAGATCAAAAGAAAGAGAAATTCCATATTAAAAACCTCAATGTTATATTAAAAATATCCTGTGGGTAAACTGAAGACCACGTTTAACAGATGTGTGGAGGTATGGATGGGAGCTCCATTAAACATTAATGAGGAAAAGAAGTCATCTGCCATGGGTTGCTTTTTCTTCCAGACGGAAGAAATAAAGAAGCCACCTAGGTTAGACAAAAGATGCAGGATAAAGCTTCACTACTTCAGGAGACTCCTCCCTATTAACTATTCTGAATCAAGATCACAATAAACTTTGTCCTATTTTTAGAATATTTCATCCAGAAGCTTCCAAAAATGCTTTGCAGTATTAATCAGAACAGTCAATGTAAAGGTCTGACACAAAGCTGAAGCAGAAATCACATCATTGTCAGTCCTTAAGGTACTGCTAATACTGCCTGTAAGCTGGATAAACCCAGCATCTTTTAAAAATGTCTGAATAGTTACATTCTTATCTAATAAATACTGTAAATAGTGTAGCATGGTCCTGCTCTGGGCAGTCCAGAACAGCTAACACCTCCCATTCAGATATAGTTGTGAGCAGTCAGCCTTTCAGGAAGTTCTATGACTGATAAGAACTTCACCAAAATGAATCACACTGACAGTGGGAAAGATGCCTTTTTCCCCTCAAATTACCAACTCCATAATGCTTGTGAGAAATCTCTCACCTTGTAGGGATTTGCAGAGAGACTACAAGTTAAAAATACCAAAACAAACGCCTTCCCCCCAACCTCATATATAGAATTTGTTTAAAGGAGGGTTTTTGAAATGGTACCATGAATGTAAAGTTCATAAAGGTATTGGAAAATTGGGCCTCAAGCTCCCATATACTGCACGTGGAACATTTTCTTGCCTAAAAGGAGTATGTTGAGTTTCATTACATGATCATTTCTATCTCCTCAAAAAAATATTTCAGAAACTCTGAACAGAGCTAAAAGCCTATTACTGCTTTTATGTTATGGTAGGCAGACAAGTATCTACTGGCTTCATGAGATTTCCGCAAAGAGAATTTACAATAAGATAGTTTCTACTGCTGCAAACTACTGAGTAAGGCATCTTTCTGAATGAGATACACTTTGTTGTCTGAAAGAAACAAACACTTGAACAGACTGGTAATGTCTCCCAATTAGTTCAGAGATTCTAATGAATGTGGTGGCACAATTTACATGCTTTGGAATACTTCACTGGGTAAAAATGTGCAAAATTCGCAGGAGTGGAGAAACAAAGAAACGAACCAGAGTAAAACATCACCGCAATGGACTGAGGTGTGCATTGCTATATTGCACAATACAAGTTGTCAGAGATACAGATGGAAAAACAAAAAAACCCAAACACAAACCAGGAAACACCTTCCATGTGAAAGGGATACTACAGGACTTTCAGAGCCAAACCTGCATTGCCATAACATACCCACCCAAAACAGCTTATACGGCAGCATCACTTTTGGACATAGTTAACTTCATACAGATCTCACACATCTGAACCTCAGTGATGAAAATGTAGGTAAGGCTAGTAATCTTTTAAAAAGAGCTACTTCAGAGAAGCATTTGCTATGATGGTTGATCATCAGCAGTTTCACTTTTTTAACGCTCTCACAGAGTAGAATGACAATGTTATCCTGACCTTACAACTGGAAAACAAAAAAAAAAAAACCCAAACCAAAAAACCCCCCAAGAAGTCCAATAATGTCAGTAGCAGAACACTGAACAGAGACTGAGGATGAAACCCTGTCCTCACTGAAGCCCACACTAAGAATTTTGCTCCGATCTTTTAATCTTGTCTGTCTGAGCACCTACCTAAAACCACATGCAATTAGCAATACACTTAGGTTACCAGATGAAACTCACTGTCCTGCAATACAGTGGGTGGGTGAAGTAATTACAGTGGTCACTTTTGACTTTAAAATTCATAGGAAGAAGTTCTGGAACTGCAGTTTGTAATGTTGTTGCATGCAAGGCTTTAGGATAGATGTATTGCTTTCCAGGCATACAAATATGACAGTTCTGTGCCCCAAGCTGCTGGCAGATGAAAGGTCCGATGCTAAAATCCTTTACACATGCAAATAATTCCACTAGTTCTTGTGATTCTACTGCCACAAGCAAAGTTTTGTTTGAATGGCCTCACTTTTAGACG